CGTGGCTACCAGACAACTTCATATGGTGAAGTTAGAACATTAAATATGTTAATACAGTATAAAATAAAGTATAATTCTCCCAAGTGAGCATTAGCAACATTTATGGGTCTGCAGATAGCATTTGTTTTTCTCTCATCGCGTCCTACTATCCCCCCAGTTGTTAAAACAAACAACTGCTTTTGATTTGTAGCCCTAACTTTACAGTTTAGGAGCCTGTATCTGAAATAACGAATTAGACACTCACTACAAAACACTGAAATAAAAACAGACCAGTGTGTAACTTGGACTCGGCAGCCACCAGCTGCACCTCATCTTGCTAATCTTTAGCTTTTTTTTTTTTAAGCGGGGGCTTTTAAGAGTTAAGTTACACAACTCTCCTTTTATTTTTAAAGTGAGTGGATTCCTTGTTGCGTTGTTGAGGATGATAAATTGATACCACATGTTGCTTCCAGACAAAAAAGACTCTGTACTGCAGTGGAAGCACTTGCAGCTGGTGTCTGAGTTAATGGACGGGCTCCACAAGGTAAACACGGGTTGGAAGAGGCTGAAACAGGCACCAGGAGGGGAAATTTTCTCCATTTTAAAGGCTCAAGCATTTGCTGCTGCTGCCTGACCAGGGCTGAGTGTTGAAATCACGCGCAGTCCCAGCCTCCCTGGGACACTCATTCAGTTGTTCGTATCAAATCAGGTGTGCAGCACTTTGGAAATGTATGAGTGTCCTCTCTGGGAGGTTACCCATTCTCAGTCTTAATGAAATATCAAGAGAGACACGTAATTAGTAGTGGTAGCTGATTTAAGTTGGTTTGGTTTTTTTTGCAAGCGAAATGTGGCTGGTTCCCTCAAGGAGTATTAACTGAACAAAATGTGGTGCAGCATGGCCCTGGGTTTGGGGAAAGTGCTGTCACCTCATGTGTTGCTGCCCTGGCTACTGGTGGGCGCCCAGCTGCACCCCTCTTCACAGAATGTTCGGGGTTGGAAGGGACCTCTGGAGATCATCTAGTCCAACCCCCCCGCCAGAGCAGGGTCACCTACAGCAGGTTGCACAGGACAGCATCCAGGCGAGTTTTGAATGTCTCCAGAGTGGGAGACTCCACAACCTCTCTGGACAGCCTGTTCCAGTGCTCTGCCACCCTCAAAGTAAAGAAGTCCCTTCTCATGTTTAGGTGGAACTTCTATGTTCAAGTGATAATGTGCCCATTATCTCTTTTCCTATCATTGGGCACCACTGAAAAAAGACTTCCCATCCACCTGGCACTCTCTGCTGATGCTGTCAGCCTAAGCCAAGGTAGGGTATCGGTGCCACTTGCCTGTGGCACTGCACCACCCTCTGCTCACACCACATCTGCCCTGCCCTCGTGTGTTGCTCTGCCCTGGGTCTTCCTCATCTCCAGGGCTGGTTGTTCTTCCCTGCAGCACCACTTCCCCAGGGGACCGGGACCCAGCTGGGCTGGGCTCAGTGCCATCTGGGATGCTCTTGATCTTATCTGCAGGAACCCTGGTCTTCTGGCTTTCAGCAGAGTGCACAGCATTCTTCAAGTCCGATATAAATAGTAGCACTAATAAAGGGAGGAGCTCGTCGTATTTCTTTTCTACTTTGCTCTTGTACAGTCCGTATGTTGTACCCATCAGTGGTGTCTGAGCTCTTTCCAAGGTGTCTGCAGCCTGGCTAGCATCTGTCCCATCTACATATGGTCTCCAGGACAGATTGATGGAAGTTACTTTATAGATCTTGTAAAGTTTCTCATTGAAATTTGGCATGGAAAAATGTGTCCTGTTTCTATCATCATGGCCTAATCCATCTCCTAAAATGAAAGGCAAATCCCCATTAATTTGAACAGCATCAGATTCAAGTCTTAAACTGTATTTTCTTTGCTTACCCACCTCCTTTGCAGTTTGTTGCCTCGTCATATCTTAAAAACGCACATGGTTGTGCGCAAAGATTGTCCCACGATACTTCGCTGTATTTTAAGCAGACAGGAATGTTCTGTGACAGCTCAGAAACCAGGTAGCAAATACAGTTATTTCCATCCAGATTACAGCCCGGTGGCACAGCGCAACAACCTTTACTAATGTGAGTTGTCAATTCCAGTGACTTCTGTAGCAAAACTTGCATGTGAAAGGATAATGGAATCCAGCCCTAATTTGATTTGGCAGAGCATCGAACACAAGGAGAAACCAAGAAACTCAGATACTCTTGCTGAAGAGGTTAGCGGGGGAGGTTACGTGAAAGAAGTGGGTTTTGAGGCGGTGTTTGAACAGAGGGTGGAGATGGGGTACACAAAAATAAATTGGCCCGTAATTATGCTTAAGAAAACAATCTTCCTACAGAAGAAAAGTAAAGAAAAAGAGAAGCCAGAGCATAAGTGGCATATTGCGTAATGTAAAGGAAAACAAACTGCTTGGATTTTTTATAACCACCAATTTTCAATGCAAAAGTATTATTACATTCTTTTATTATTTGTGTAATACTGAACAAAAAGATACAATAAGTAGAAAATTACACATGTGCACATACATAGTCACACATGCAGGAGCCCTCATCCTGAAAGGTGGTTCAGTCTCACGATTTTATCATTTACAATTTTTCATGGTTTTAGTACAGACAGTTTCATACTGCAGCTACCACCAGCAGAAATAAGCCATTTTATGAGAATACCATAAGTTGAAGACTGTTAGCTACTGGCACTTTGGCTGAGTGTTTTTATATCTGAAGCTATGTGGCATGCTGCCTATGCCACCTTGGGTGTTTCTTTTCTGTGTTTTGTAAGATTTTTTTTTTCATCAGCAAGAGTCATGGTGTTGTGTATTCTCATACCCAGTATTTTTAGGTGGGGAACAGCATGGTTTGTATGGCTCTTCTAACCTGGCTTGATGTGCTGGTCTAGCTCTGGTTGTCCTCGACCTGCCAACAGCTCTTTGCAAGGAGAGATCCCCATACAGATGTTCTCACATACAGTTGCCCATGGAAGTCACAGGGGATGAACGTGAGAGCTACCTGCATTGATGCAGTACAAGCTGGAATATCAAAAAAGGTTATTTTTCAAAAAAACAGCAGTTCTCCCGCCAGTTGAGAGAAATCTGAGGAAGTAAGCAGTGGCGCCTAGTTATTAGAAGTTAGAAACAGACTGTTGCCAGATTCAAAATATAGTTAAAATGTCATCAGTTAAGTAATAAAAACCTCTTTCCTTCCTTAGACTGAAGAACTATTATGCTGCAACTCAATCCACCATATTTTGATGACATGATAGTCCCCTAGAAATGGACAAGTTTATAGCTGAGGCACTGACCCAAACTTCTCTTGAATATGTCTGCGAAGTCTGGTCTGCTGTTTTCTGCAAATTGTTTAAAACACAACAGTTGCTATTTTGAACCATGTTCCATATGATTTCTCTTTTCATTAAGTGATAATCACAACCACGTCTGCTGTCTGCGTGCGAGAAGAACTTCAGGCGTGTTTTCCATTTCATGATCTGACAAAAACCACAACACTTACAGGGGAAAAAAAGGCCTTTTATACTGAGAAGAATTGTTTGCGAAAAGCTGGGCTGTATCTCTTTATGCATCCAATGTGTCGCCAGTTCACTTATGTCAAACATCCATTTATGCTAACGATGCAAATGTCGAGATGCTTCTGAATTGATTTGTTGATTGATTCATTCTTTGCCCATTTAAATCTGGAATTTATTCAATGCTTTGTAAATGAAGGACACTTATCCTGGATGGTTTGATTATGCTATGATCCTGTTGACTTTGTGTTTTTCAAGTAGGCTGGTAGAACAAATGTGGTTTTACCCTCTTTATTGATACACCTGGTAATTGCCAAAATTTAAGAAAAAAGAACTTGTGCAACTTTTTAAACTTGATCGTCTTTAACCTGGAGGAATAGCACAACTGTTTTGTAAAGGAATATGGGATAGCTCCAAAAATCTTGACTTGCACATGGAAAGACAACCAAAAGCAAACCTGGAAGCATTCTCACTAACAAATACTACTTGCTTGTCCTTTCTTTAAGCCATATTTTAAGCCCAAGATCAGCAGGATGAATAGAGTAGGATTTTCATCTCAGTTATTTAGGTTTAAATCTGGAGTCATTTCACTAGGGCTACCATGAGCTGTTTTTCTCTACTTCATTCTCGTTCTGGGGAGATTATCATTGGTTTGAGCCAACATGGTTTTTAGACGGTAGATGTTTCTGACTGGTGCAAGCGGGTAGTATGCAAGAGCAGACAGTTCATGGGCTGCCCTGTAAGTACTGTATTTCGTGGCATCCTGTACAGCATGGGGTATCTGACTGTGTACAGCAGCTTTGTACAACTCCGTTTCTAGCAGTTTACAGGGACAAGGATATCGTTGTGTACTGTGTCACATCATGTTTTGAAGGCTGTGAGGATACTATAGGAAGGGGACAGCTGACCAGCTACTGCGGTGCGGGCGTAATTCTGGTGCCTCTAATCAGGAGAGAAAGTACAGCTTAGTCATGCACAGAGTGCCTGTGGGAGAGGAGCAACAGCACTTGCAGTTTTCTCAAGAATTATTATAAGAAATACGCAACACACATGCCCATGAAGAATTAAAAAGACATTTGCAGAGGCTGCGATGAGTGTGACTACCCCTCCAGTCAGATTTTTGCAGTTTCTTTGCGGTTTTTATTTCAAGGAACTGATGGCAAGATTGCTGATAGTGTAGAGTTCTGTCCTGAGTCAAAAGTAAGGGACAAATGTTTTTTTTCTTGCTAG